GACAGTGTAAAGAAACGATGGAAACCATGTCAAAATCCTGACATCCACTTAAGTAGAATCCTGACCGGATTCACGTGGGTAGCAGTGCTAGTTGTTGAGCATCCTTAGCCACCAGGATACTCCTGTTTTGGAGTTGGCCTGCAGGGGGCGGGGTGGGTGGGTGGGTGGGTGGGTGAGAGTTGGGGAAACCGGCCAATGCATTTCACAAGGAGGAGGTTTTAACTGAAGCAGTGACACAGCCTGAATGAAAGACTGGCTTGGAGCAGTTGGGAGGGAAAGAACAGTGAGGCTTATTCTAACCCATGTGGGACCCCAGAACATTAATACCCAAGGCTTCCACTTTTCTCTGTGGGCAGAATCAAAATCAATGCTCCCTTTTCATTCCACCATGCCGTCACTGTGAGCACCTATACAAAAGGAGGCCAGAGTTTCATAAGCTGAATGCTCTGTACTCTGTCCTGCACAATTAATCAGAAACAGTTAATCAGAATTGCTGTGTGAACTTGATTTTCATTGATTCAGAATAGCTTTAGTGTTTTAATAGATCTAACTGACTTCATTTCCCCTGACCCTGAATTACTCTTTTTTTTAAAAAAAAAAAAAAGTGTGTGTGTGTTATATAATGTTTGAAGGAAATACTGGCACTATTCTGACAATAGTCCCCTCCAAAACACCTTTTTCCCCGATTATGATGGAATACATGCTCTCTGTGGAAAGTATACAACGTTGCAAAAGAAATAATCATTATCAACGTTTTGGTCTATTTCTCATCAGACTTTTTGCTATGTACATAAGTTTAAAATCCTTTTTTTCTTAACATTCTTTTTTTGTTATTAAAATAATTTTTATCGTTTCTTTTTTTTTTGGGCTCAAGTATTACCTTTTTTGTTGGAGAAAATACTAAAAAAGGAAGAAAGAAAATTTGAGTCATTCGCAGTTCCCATCCAGAGGCAGTATGAGTACTTTTATCTATCTTTTCAACTTCATTTCCAGGCATATGTCACAGAAATAAATTATTAAATGTACCATGATATTCCTTCAGTCGGATGCAGTAGGACTTATTTAAGCATCTCCTTATATTGTGCATTATGGTTGTTTTCCATTAATTGTACTATGATAAATATCCTTTACGATTGTATTCTGTACTGTGCTTTTTCTGTGAAAATTGCAGATTTTTTACAATTAATTCCATCCATTCAACTCTTGAGAAAAAGTTGACATAAAAGGGCAGGGGAAAAGTAATTCATACCTTCTGCCTAAGGTCCCATCTTCATTTTATATATATTTGATCTTCATACAGAAGAGAGCATTTGCATAGAAGGATGGGGTGGTGACACCATTCTAACATGCCTAGATATGTATTTTAAGATGCAACTTAAATATAGTTCGTAAAAGAGCAACGGACTTCAAATTTTTGGAAGACGAAATCCAGGGCCAAATCTTCCAGGAGTCTAATCAACGATTTAAATTCATTTCTTGGGGTACTTGGGTGGCTCAGTGGGTTGAGCATCCGACTTGGTTTCATCCCAGATCATGTTCTCAAGGTCCTAAAACTGAGCCCTCATGGGGTTTCACACGCACTCAGTGGGGAGTTTGTTTGAGATTCTCTCTCTGCCTCCCCTGTTTGTGAACACACACAGCACACATTGCTAAAATAAAGAAAATAAATCTTTTTAAAAAAGTCATTTTTCAATTCTAACACTTACCATTGTTAAAAAATTGGCCAGCAGAAATGAGCAAAAAGACGCTACTTCTGAAGCAATGCCAAAGTAAGATATGATAAAATATTGTCGGCTCAGTGATAAGAAAACAAACAAAAACATTGTTCACGGAAGACAATGACCCTCAGGCTACATCTTAAATCATGCCAGCAATACTGCCATTCTGGTAGAAGAGTTTGTAGGACTCACACAGAACATGGAAGGGCAGGAAAGATGTGGTCCAAACACTTATGCTAGGATTGTTTCTAAGAGATCCATCTCCCTGCTCAGAGCTCAGGCCTGGAGCCTGGTGTGTGTCTTTGATTTTTCTGTAACCCAAGTACAAGGGACTTATCAAAAGGGAAAACCTATGTAGAAAAAAATCAGTTGACTGCCCCTCTGGGGCCTGTCTTTATAGAAAAGTCATCAAGGGATCATAGCAGTTTTGTCATTTCTTTGGAAAATATTCTTCATGTACTATTAAAAGTTACAAATCAGGGATCCCTGGGTGGCTGAGCAGTTTAGTGCCTGCCTTTGGCCCAGGGCGTGATCCTGGAGACCCGGGATCGAGTCCCACATCGGGCTCCCTGCATGGAGCCTGCTTCTCCCTCTGCTTCTCTCTCTCTCTCTCTCTCTCTCTCTCATGAATAAATAAATAAAATCTCAAAAAAAAAGTTACAAATCATCTTCGCCACCACCATCTCACCTGGTAACAAGGTTGTATAGTAGAAAAGGCAGGAAGTAGTATCCCCATTCTGTAGATGAAAAAACTGAGGCCCAGAAATTAAAGATTTGCTCAAAGTTAATACTGCTTGCAAATGATGGAGTAAGACTGCAAACCTGGGGCCTCTCCTAGTGTAATGATCATGCCAGGAGTCCACACCACATTCATCTGGACAGGCTTTGGAGAAGGACCCTTCCAATATCCTTTTAAAGGGCTGTACGGGGCTCCTTCCAAGCTTGGGTCCTGGCACTCACTGGAGCAAGAGAACTATCAAACAAAATGTGATTTGCAGCCATTCATCCATCTCAGATGATGGGCCATGTTGTAACAAAACAGGTCAATTACTAGGAATGAGGTGAGGAGAAAGCACGTATCTGAGTTTATAAACTGGTTGTATTTAGTTTTCTCAAAAATGTCATAAATGAGGAAATAGGTTCAAGGATTAAGTGACTTCCTGGATAAAGGGAACTTAGCAAGTCTCCCTCACAAAAAATGAGTTGATTTCCTCATTCCCTCATTTCAACAATAGCCATAAAGTTAGGTGGTGACAGTCATGGTACCTGGCCTTTAGGGGGTTGTGATCAATCTTTCTGGGAAGTCTTTGATCTCCAACTTGGCTAGGAAATGAGCTCCTTTCTTCTTCATAGGCTTTACTCTGAGGCCATTAGGGCCTCATTAGCAGTAAGTCCCACTAGGTTTGGAGAGAACCCTTTAGGTTCAGGCCTAAGCTGCAATTAGGGCCTTATACTTCCCTTAGAAGGCTTACTGAGCAGGACGTTCCCTTCTGAGGGGGACGACCAAAACCTCCCTGGTACAAAATCAGCCCCTTCCGTGATTGCATCCTTGTGCTTTTATTATTAATGCAGTCAATACACTAATCTTCCTGTGTCCCACCATGTGGCAAGTTCAAATGCAAAAAGCGATATAATCCAGTGGATTTCCCAAAATGTCTAATTGAGAGCAAATGGGAAATACAAAAATGGATGAGTAGGAAGTGACAGTAAGGCAGAACTCAGGGACTTGGATCAACCAGGGTCAGGACCTCTGCTTTCAACTATGCCATTAAATTGGAACTGTGCCAAACCATGATCATGAACGCTGTCCTCCATCATTGCTGCAAGTATGCACAGCTAAGGGCTGTGATGCTGAAACTATGTATGGTCCCTATCAGCTAATGCCATATGCTGAACTCCAGACAGGTGAAAGCAACACTCAAAGGAAATGTCACTACTTAGGGACATCACAAGGCTCAGCTTCAAAGCTCTGGGTGCTTTGCAAGAAAGCAGTGCAGAGTGGCAGTTGGGAAGGTTTTCGGTCGACCCCCAGTGATAATGGGATGCAGGACCTGACTTGAGGAAGCTTGGTAGACAGCTGCAATAGTCATACTTCCCCCATGGTTAGGGCTCAGACACTGTAGCATCCTCTTATGTACCCACAGGAGCCACCAGTATTGCATTCTGTGAGGACAAATATTAAGGTCAAGTGAATTGCTCTGTTGGGGGAATTCTTCCTTTCTACCTGAAACCCAAAACTGGCTCCAACTCTGGGAGAGGCAGGGTAGCAAGTGAGAAGGGCTCTAGGGGGGAAATTACAAAATGTGGATCCTACTCCCTAGTCTGTCTCTGACCAGCTGAATTAAACTAGACAAGAAATGTCCCTGTCTGTGCTCAGATGCCTTATCTATAAAGCTATGGGGGTAGCTAGTGTTTGCCACTATGGTCCCTCCAGCGTCAGATCTTCAGTGTTTTAAGGATTCCATGAAATTAGCTATTTTAAAAAAAAAAAAAAAAGCCGTTTGCTAGAAATGTAGAGTATGGAGTTGCCCCTCAAAAAAATCTGAAGTTCAAAATAAAAGAAAAAAATGGAAAGGAAGAAATGAAAGCAGGACAGTCATTTCAACTTGAAACTCTTTTGTTGTAAGAACAGCAAAGCAACGAGTTCAGTTTGGGAGGAATACAGAAGCACAAACTGCAAAACAGGAAATCCATTCTTGGCTTGGCTGGCTGTCAAAAAGCCATCCACTGGTGAAAATTTAGATCCATTTAAAATTTTAATTTCTTAAAACTAATAAAGTCCCCAAATTAGTGAATTATTCAGAGGCCTGCTACCAAAACAGAATTACTGTCCCATCCTAAGCTTTTCAATCTGTCCTAATTTCTCCAGTCCTATTTCTGAGGGTGTGCTGGTACAAGGAATTGCCAATTGTACCTTGTACCTGTGGTGGGTACAGAACCTCTAGTGGCTCACCATCATAACCACTTTTTTTATGGGCAATGGCCAAACACAGCCTTGTATTACAGTTCTATGTAGATCGACCTTACCTCTCCAGATTGTGTTATCAGCTCTGGAATTTGCAGGGACCTCAATTACCTTTGATTCCTCCAGGCCTTGGCTACAGTAAGCACTCCAATGATTACTAATGATTAAGAAAAGTACTCACCAGTCTCCTTGGGTATGTCAAACTACATGACCAGGTTTGTATTTCCAACCTCAGTTTGAACTATAAAATCATTTTTTTAAAACGCATTATCTAGAGACAGAAAAACTTACAAAAATGAATAAACACAGAAACCAGATTTCCACAGAAAGCTGAAAAATAATTTATTCTGATAGATGGCAGAAATAAGAAAGTCATCCTGAAAATATACTTTGGTGTAATTCTGTTGGGACAGATATTCCCTCTGAACATGCTCTCCTACTGACTGCCTTGTCTTGTGACAGTTTTTAAACACTTTGCTGATTCCCATGTTGTGACCAGGCAGGAGTCATCTTCAAATTCACAGGTTCCAAGGAGAGAGCAATGTATTTCTCAGAAGAATAGCACCCTCTATCTCAGAAGAGTGCATAAACATTTTATGGAGTCAGCACAGTTTAGGTTAAGTAGGCACATAATTCATCAAAATGTAAAAAAGGCAACAGGAAAAAATACTGCACTGTAGAATAAGATATTCAAATATGGTGTGAATGTTTAAGGCAGCTGATGGCCAAAATAGGCAAGTCAAAGAAGGCGGTCTGGGTTTGGAGTTGATTTTGCATCTAGAGGAATTCTCTTCGTGACCTGCAAAACAAAGCCGTTTGGGTAACTGATCCTTACGCTATCCTTAAGAAAGGGCAAAAGGTTCATAACATCAAGAAAAGTCAGTCAGGCTAATAATTTAAAATATATAGGTGCTCAATAAATACTTGAAAGAAAAGTGGGCTCAAGTGGGCAGGCTTTACAGGGCTGCAACAAGAGGTCTGATTACCAAGGACATGCTGAAATGAGGGTCACAAGGAACAGTTTGTGTCATGGAACGCAGGAAGTTGACTCAAGCTGATCCTATTGGAACCTAATGCGTTCACACTTTAAGAATCTGTATTTGCCCCTCCCCTCTTCCAGCTAACAAACACTGAAGATTGGAATTTTCACACATCAAACTAAGAGCAGTGGTCACATAAACTCCTTTATATAAAAGCCTATTTTAAAGGACTTTATAAACAAAGCCACATATGCAGCTTTCAAAATTAAAAACCAATAAAGAGAATATAAAAATTAAATAAATAGTGGCTTTCCAAGGCAATTTCCACACAAAGCCTGAGTTGGCAGAAAAGAAAATCTGGTTATGGGGAGCCTGCTTCTCCCTATGTCTCCCTCTGTCTCTCATGAATGAATAAATAAAATCATAGATAGATAGATAGATAGATAGATAGATAGATAGATAGATAGAAAGGAGGGAAGGAGGGGGGCGAGGGAGGGAGGGAAGGAGGGAAGAAGGAAGGAAGGAAGGAAGGAAGGAAGGAAGGAAGGAAGGCAGGCAAGCTGGTTACAACACACATTTTGCCAAAATGTTGAAGGTTAGGTGCAGGTGAGCAAGGGGCTAATTAAACCAGGAAAAGACAAGGTTACAGGCAGGCATGTCTGACAAGACTGAAGGTCATATAGCATGTAGGAGATCAAATGGGCCCTTAAGGTTTTCCAAATCAGTGAGCACAACCAGGAGAATCCACAGAGCAATGTGGTAAAATGATAGGCTTCCCAAGGCCTTGGGGTTCATGACACCCAGAAGTAAATACAAGGCTGCTGGTCTTTCTGGGGACAGCTGGGACAGTCCAACTATCCTCAGTATGGAAAGGACTAGACTGCTGGACCCACTAAGGACGCTGCAAACAAAATATATTCAATTCAAGATATAATCAGAGGACTGTTTTTACAATGTACTAGGAAAATAACCACATCGGGCCAGGGAGGGGCAATTACCAGAGCTACTGGTTTCTTGTGGCCTCACGGCCTCATAAAACCTTTAATCTAATGATCATTTCCTCTTCTCCTCCTTATGCCAGCAGAACAGTCCCATCTATACAGACCCAAGTTCCAGGAAGATGATAAATTTAACTTGAGAATACTAAAGCAGTTAATATATAGATGTTTTTTGTGTTAATTTTTTACAAAGCACACATGCTAGACCTCCTTGTTGTTTAAACCTTTTTGGACATGTGAATAACAAAAGGGAAAAATAAGTCTTCACCTTTGGAAAACCACACAGAAATGAAATAATTTTCACGTAAGCTCAATGATACTAGTTTGAGATAAACGTGAGTGAGAATTATGTTAAATGGCATGGACTTGTGGTTTGATTCGGAAGTGAACTGAAGCAGCACATATTCTAATCATCTCTCTGACATGAAATAGCCATTGGGGGTGGGTGGAGAGGAACTCAACCAAAGGGTCCATGTTCTCATTTTTTGTAAAATAAGGAAATCACTAAGGCTACTTTCATATAAAACTGAGAGTAGGGATCCCTGGGTGGCGCAGCGGTTTGGCGCCTGCCTTTGGCCCAGGGCGCGATCCTGGAGACCCGGGATCGAATCCCACATCGGGCTCCCAGTGCAGGGAGCCTGCTTCTCCCTCTGCCTGTGTCTCTGCCTCTCTCTCTCTCTCTGTGACTATCATAAATAAATAAAAATTAAAAAAAAACTGAGAATGAAGACAACATAAAAATATTAAGGGCAGAACCAGCAAATCTGTTCAGGGGAGGGTAAGTGAATATATTTTTTTAATCAAAGAATACATTTCATTTTTATCTATATTTTTTCATTTTACATAAATTCACAAAACAATTCCTCCTTTACGATTATGTGTAAGATACATGTTTATTGTAGATTAACTACAAGAGATATTTAAGCAAGCAGAAGGTATGTGTATTTAATAAATCAAGACGATGCAGAATATGAATGGCAAAAACTGGAGAGCTAACTACATCAAGGGACAGATGAAATCATTTTGATACCAAGTAGCCAGAAAGAAAGTACAAGGATTTGCAAGCCAGACACTCAAAGAGAAAATATCCAAGAGAGTTGAAAGAATGGGAGAATGGAGGTAAGAGAATAGAGAGAACTCTGCAGAATAGTGTGTTTGCTAACATGCCTCCTAAATTAATGAACGTCATAGGGCAATGAGAGACAGGAAGGGCTAAGCAAAGTCCATTTTGTCCAGAACATGGAAATAGAAGAGCTGGAACCAATAGGTCGTGGAGGAAAGCAGTGAAAGAAAGGCCGCAAAAGTGATCCGAAAGCAACTGGGAAGGCCTTGACTGCCAACTTAGGGAGCTGGACATCACCTGCAGGTTAGTCATTATTATCTTTGGTGGCTCATGGGACTCTGGTGGCCACAAGTTACACGGCATTCCAAGGGGCATGTACCCACTGAACTCAAGGCCTTCAAGTTTAAAAAAAAAACAACACAGGGCAGCCCCAGTGGTGCAGCGGTTTAGCACCGCTTGCAGCCCGGGGTGTGATCCTGGAGACCCGGGATCAAGTCCCACGGTGGGCTCCCTGCATGGAGCCTACTTCTCCCTCTGCCTGTGTCTCTGCCTCTCTCTCTCTCTCTCTCTCTCTCTCTCTCATAAATAAGTAAAATTTAACAAAACAAAACACAAAACCCTATGGAGAACTACTAAAAGCTTCTGGGACAAGCAGCACTCTCAGGAAGTGGTGCATCAGGGAGACAAACGGGGTGGTGTTTTGTAGATATAGTGACTGTCAAGCAGGGGGACCTGATGAAGAGCCACTGTAAAAACTCAGAGCCGCAATGATCTGGGTCAGAAATTAGGGTGCCCAAAGGAGGAAGGGGGAGGAAGGGCACACATAAGAGCCATTAGCAGGATAAACTGGATCTGAGGAAGAGGAGAAAGGTGATGGAATAGGTTCTGACTCTAAGTAACAGCGAAATCTCTAACATCAGGAATTGAAACGGAGACTCGACAGTTTCAAGTGGCAGCAGCATATCCGGTCAGAGAGCAGAGTAAAAGATACACTTTTAAACCACAAAACACCTTGCATTGTTTAACTTTTCACAACTATGACTTAATTTCAACCTCTCAACAATCACAAACCTCTTCAGAGCCCATGGCCTTCCTTGAAATCCCCACTCAGTACCATGTACCTCATGAGCACTCAAATATTTTTGGAATGCGTAGAAAAACAGCTCCCCTGAGGCAGAGGCCTAATTACACTTTATTCCTTTCCTGTCCAGACTCTGTAATAAAAAACAATGTCTGCCCTTTAGGAGTGCAGTAAGACATATAAATTTGTCTAAAATATTACAGGGGTGTGGTAAACCAACTAACTTATAGGATGCCGGGGCTGAAGCCAAATCTACTCCAAGGAGATTCCACACTAGCATCACACCCCCAAGGCTGGAGGAAAATGGGCCTTGACCAAAGCAGCAATCTTGATGAGACAGTTCCGGAAGCATCTTAGGAATCCAGGAGAGGCAGAAAAGGCTGGCAGGGAGCAGACGTGGAGTGAGCTCTGTTCTTAGAAGTACCAGCAAGATTTCCAGCCAATAAACATAATGTGCTGTAACCCAGTCTATCATCAACATATGAAAGCATTGTGGCAATTAAAGTGATTAAAGTAGCAAAAGATCAGCTAGGTGTTTAACTGTGCTGTTGAAATCAAGTCAGTCCCACCTATATAAAATTATTTTAAAGCTTTCATGACTACTCCTGATTTTCCTCTGCTGAATACCATGTCTGGCTTACACCTCCTACTTTCCAAATCTGGCCTCTAATCATGTATAAAATCAAACGCCTTTCCTTACCAGATGAAGACAGGCCTAAATCTAGTTTCTATACTCCTTTATCATCGCATAGTTGTGTAAAACCACAAAGGTCAAAAGGGAATTTAGCTCCGTCTTTTGATTTATCACAAAGAAAAGTCTTGTCACAGGGGTTCTGTTTGCTCCCATGTTAGGCAGAGATTAGATCTCTTCATGTGATAACTGAAGTCCTATAGTTATGGTACTACCATAATCACTACCTCAAACACAGGATAAATGTGACAAGACATTTATAATTAGGGTCTTTTGGTTATGCCCTCCTGCTTCTTGGCATTTGTTTGTAAAGGAACCACCTTTACTCTTGTAAGGGTTTCAAGCAGCCCTGGTTTGTGCCGTGGACCAGAGGGCCAACATAAGGAATCTGTCAATTAGGTTTTTGTGTGTGTGTGTGTGTTTGTGTGTGTGTGTGTATTTATTTATTTATTTATTTTTGTCAATTAGGTTAACATGAGATTGAAAATGGGCAAATGAAAGCTTCAGATCCACACACTCCTTATTCTTTGGACCCAAAGGGCCCAATTCTCTTTTATTACAGGAGAAGGAGATGAGGCTCAGAGAAGTTAAGTGAAAGGCAATGCTGGAAGGAGATCCAACTGAGGCCTGAAGGTCTCTGCTTGAAACCCCAGTCAACATCCTGACCTAATACCCACTGTAGTTATATGGAAGGGTAACAGGAGAATTTGATGAAAAAAAAAAAAGGTAAAAAAAAAGTCTTAGAAATCACATAATACACACACATATTTTTTACCCCACTTTGGGCAAAGACAGAATTCTAAGGAAAAAAAAATCTGACTACTTACCTATCAGACTGGCAAAAAATCGAGGCTATGAGGAAACAGGCACTCTCATATATTGTTGGTGGAAATGTAAAAATAGTATATATAATCCCTATAGAGAGAATATAGTAACAGCTAGAAAAAGCATATATATCTTTAAACCAAATCCAATTTTCATGGAACCTAACCCAAAGGTCACCAGCAAAAATATAAAATGTCTCATATATAGGATGATATTGTGCCTTTATCAATAATAGCAAAAGACTAGAAACAATCCAAAAGTGCATCAATGGCTATAAAAAGAATGGAGGAAGAAGCAATCTCTAGGATATATTGTTCAGTGAAAAAAAAAAAATCAAGGTATGGAATAGTATAAATAATATGATATCTCTTCTGTAATAGCTGTAGGTGGGGAATATATACACGTATGTATATAGACATACTTATATAGATTTGTATGTATTTGCTTATCTTGGCAAAATAGACACAGGAAGAATAGACTTCTCTGAATGTATCTTGTTTATCATTTTGACTTTGGAAATATGTTTTACATATTCAAAATACAGTGGTAAATAAAAATCACTATGACTTGAACACATAATAAAATAATCTAATTATATATCAAACTGATAATGATGAGAGAAAATAATTATTTCAAGTGATCTCAGAAAATGATTTTTTTCTTTTGTTCTAAGGACAAATAAAGCAGCAAAGAAATCCTAAACTACATGCAATAAACTGAGTAGTTATACTGGTGTTATTTTGAAACTCTATGTATTGCAGGATAATGAAAATAAGTAATTAAATTATAGTCTATAGGAGTCAAGATTTTCAGCATATGTGAATGATATTCAGGTATAAAATGAAAGAAGTAAAAACCATGTAATGTTAAATTTGAATTAAAAGTACTAACATGGGGACACTGGGCTCAGTGGTTGAGTGTGTGCCTTCGGCTCAGGGCATGATCCCGGATCTGGGGATCGAGTCCCGCACTGGGCTCTTTACCGGGAGCCTGTTTCTCCCTCTGCCTGTGTCTCTGCCTCTCTCTCTGAGTCTCTCATGAATGAATAAATAAAATCTTAAAAAAAAAAAGTACTAACATGGACTCATGATTTTTCTTCTTAGAAGAACATACTTCCTGGCTCTGTCCACTGTAAAGGCTTAGAAGCAACAACACCCCAGCAGAAATGGATGCTCCCAGCAATCAGATCTTGGTTTTTTTAAATCCATTTCCCACTGAAAGGAACCATGGCCAGTTGGCCTTGAGGACTGACTGGTGAACCAGGGATCCTCTCAGTGGGAAATTTCAAAAGCAATCTGAGGAACAGCAGATTCCAAGTCTGGGACAGAAAAAAACACACAGAGAGGTCTGGGACATCTTGATGTTGCCAGTAAGTGAGGAAACTACCAGAGAATAATATCAAAAGGACATAGAAGCCAGTCTAGACAGGCTCCCATAAACCAAAGAAAGAACATCTGATCATAAAAAGGGTAATAACACGTAATTGATTAAAATTCAAGAGAGAAGAAAAGAAAACTTCTCTGGATACCCTGGAAGTAACTCAGGCACTAATACCTTGCCCTGAAGATTAAAAGAAAAAAAATTAAATATGTATAGTGCTTTTCCTATGTGATCTATATTTCAAGGTTACTAAATAACTCTAGAGGGTAAGTTCATCTTTATAAAAACATTTCATCTCATCAAATGTAGATGTGGAAAATCACCGTTTTGCACTTTCTACTGAAATGTTTACTTCAGGCTAAGATCATAATGGATAAAATCCCCAGATAAAAGGCTGGCAGAGAACTCTGCAACTGGAGGGACCAGGCTGCTGTTATCTGAACCCACTGGTCATCATGGCATCACGAAAGACAGAAGAGTCAGACACTGTGTGTCTCTTGATATGAGTCCACAGTATCACTTAAGAGATACCCTTGCCAAAAAGGCAGAACCAGAATCTAGGCAAGCTTCGAGTGCAGACTTTCATTTTTCAAAATAACGGAGAAAGAGAAATGAAGTCAGGTTTTCTGACTCTCAGCCAGTGAATAAATCTTTCCACTATAACACTCCTTACCTCTCTGATCCCTTGAACCAAACAAAACCTAAAATTTTAACTCCAGTGTTCAAAGAGCACCCGACTCTCTCTCTCTAAAGCATTCAGAAATGCCCTTAATTTAAAATCTGTCGGCAACTTTAAGAATCCTGCAATATCCAGTATAAACAGTGGCGCTCCTGTATCTGAAAGACCGCATGCAAACTTTATTTAAATGACTGGGTAACAGCAGAACTTAAAGGAATCTTATGAATAAATCCTTTGGTAAAGTGAGTGGCCTAAGTTCCAAATTTATTTCTGCTCTTCAGATGTTTACTTTCAGCAGCCTGCCCTTGCCAAGTGTTAAAATGGCTGTAGTTTTCTAAGGAAAGGTCAAGGCAACCTCTAGCTGCCAGACTGACAGACAACACCAATGTGAAAGGTTGAGGGTATAATCACCTCAATGACTGAGTGCTGGAGAGCAGGTCTTCCTCCTCAAGGCCAATGATACTTGAGGTACCAGATGGTTTCATTTTTCAACTGTGGTCCAAAGAGAGGGTTGAGTTGGGCCAGAATTGCAATCAGCCAACTAAGAGAATGAATGGGGGAGGAAAAGCAACAATACAAAGTGTGAACTCATGTTGGAACAGGACCATTTTCAATCAGGGTGAAAATGGGTGCTTTAGTAACATTTAAATCCTTCCATACCCTTAAGTTCATAAAACACACGGTGCTAATGGGAACGTATCTCATAACAAGTTTCACAAAGCACACCCTGCTTTCGTTTCAATTCGTAGTGACAAAGCAGTGACAAAGCAGTGACACTTCATCAGTTGTCTTTACTCTCATTATCTTAATTCCAAAGTATCCAAGATTTCCTGCATTCATGTGAATCTTTATCTCAGAATATCTTTACCTAATCTCAATTTAGCATCATCACAACTTTCAAGCTCAGGAAGAATGGGTGTTACTTTATCTTCTCCAAATGCTAAGGCCCACAACTGACAGGACACACCCATTTTTAATGGCAGAGCCAAGGTTAAATTTCAGCCCATCTTCCAATTAGGCTGTAACAGGTGAGTTCCCCTTCTCTAATCACCATCACTGCTAAAATATGTAACATATCTTTTGGCCCCAGTGGAGCTGAACCAAACAGGTATTTAATTCCCCCAGCTTACTTGAGAATCTAACAACAGTGCATTCCTCTGTACTATCCCCATGCTAATTGTGGAGGAAGTACAGTGGTGTTACATACTACCTCAAGGTTAGAAGTTAAAAAGCACACGGTCGAAATTGTCTTTTAAAATTTCTTCTACAGCTTGCAAAGTTCTGAATAAATGGCTTTGTGTCTGATACAGCGATACATATATCTAGCAAAGTCTGAGAATCACCAAGCTTAAGACCAAAGCAAAGAACAAAAAGATAATACACAAATGTCTAGGTATTCAAACTATTCCATGTTTTACTTATTAAACAAATATTTAATGAGCACCTACTAGGTTCCAGCCCCAAGGATACAGAGGAGAAAATGAAATGTCACTACCTTCACAAAGCTTACATAACATAATGTCAGGCAAGAAATAAAGTAGGATGAAGGAATAGAGAATGATGGAGGTAGCCAGGGACGGCCTCTCTAAGGAAGTAACATTTGAGAGAGACCAGAATGAAGCAGAATATACACTGCTTTTTACTTTCCTATAATATATACAAAGTGATTAGAGAATCTCTCTCTCATTTTGCAGGGATAGGATATGGTAGACAAGCCCAGCCTCCACTGACTAATCTGGAAGAATGGATTTTAGTAACATAATCTGATGCAGCTAAGCCTCTCTGCATGGAATAGAGGTTACTGCTTTCCAAGGAAAAGGAGAGAGATTGTTACAGGAGACTCCTCCTAAAATTTTAGCACTTTAAATTCCCCTATGAGAGGGGAACTAGCCCAACCCAACCAGCCTGCTATTTGTGTCTACCTCTTTCCTTTCAGTTGCTGTCATTTTTAAAACTCTTCCAAAGGATCAAAAAGCCAATTCTGGGCAGCCCCGGTGGTTTAGCGCTGCCTGCAGCCCAGGGTGTGATCCTGGAGACCCTGGATCGAATCTCGCGTCAGGCTCTCTGCACGGAGCCTGCTTCTCCCTCTGCCTGTGTCTCTGCCTCTCATTCTCTCTCTGTGTCTCTATGAATGGAAAAATTCTTAAAAAAAAAAAAAAAAAAAAGCCAATTCTGATCACCAACGACAAGACCAGACTGCTGGAGAATCTGCCAGCACTGCACCCGAAGCTCACACCTACCTACCAAAACAAATGTACCCGCCCTGCCACCCCACCCCACCCCACCCCACTGAAGGTGGTTTTGTGACAGGAAACATGATACCTGAGGAAATCAGGCCAAAACAGATACCCCAGGCTGACTCACTTTATAAACAAAAAGCTAATTCAGATGAGATGCTCTGATCTGTCCTTAGAATGAGAGAGTATTAAACAACAAACAAAATACCAAGACTTGTAGTTGAGGTCACATCTATCTGTCGCTGCAAAACAAAGAAAGGATAGCACAGGCAGCCACACTGAAAAGCTCTGTGACTGCAGTGAACATTAATGGTGCAGAGCTAAGAGTCATGGAAAATTCCACTCAGACCCAGGACTTCCCCAAACCCAGCAGGCAATAGAGGCTGACTGTAAAAACAGTCGTTCATCCTTTCGTAAAAGACTGAAATCACTGGCCAATGCTTAGAAGGATAGATAAAAAAAAAATATGCTAGTACCGAAACTGGTCTGGTTTTTTCATTAAAAATGTATGGCGCATAAAATAAAAGCACAATCTCCCAGCACTTTGTATGACGTTGTATCAGTGCTTCTCAATCCTGGCTGCACGTTATCATCATCTAGGGAGCTTTAAAAAATACGGATGCTCTACTTCATATACAATCGTTCTTTTAATTCTCCCACAACACAGTTAAGGAGACCGAGGCAGAGAGGCTAAATGGTTTGCCTGGGGTCCCAATACTAATGAGGTGGTAGTATTTCCTGAACCAGAAATCAGGTTAGACTAACGTCCCCCTCACAAAAGTTATCTTCTGAAATATTTTTTTAATGAACAACATTTCAGAAGGCATCCATCTAACTAAATCTAATCTCTCTGGGAGTTAAGGAAATAAAGAATCCGTCTGGTGACTGTTGATGAAGTCCATCACAAGCCTTTGTTACCTGAGGTAAAGAAAAAATATCCTAAGTCAAGAACGAAGTCCACTTTGCTTGTTCAGATCAGGATTCAGAAACTCCCTAAAATTTAATTTTATATACTACTCTTAATGTTTCAAATCAGGTAAAACATCTCACTTAAAACAAACCAAAAAAACAAACAAAACCAACAGACTACAGTTCGAGAAATTCCTTGGGAAAAAGCCCACATCAGTTCACTTGAGATTTCATGGAGGAATTTCCCCCTCTAACCAGATGAGCTCTGTGCCTGCCCTTCTGACTACCGCCTGACTTAAAATTTCGCTTTAAAGCTGATAAACACAGTGGAAAACTGAAGGAGAAAAAAAATCCACTCAGAATTGATGGAAGTGGGTGGAGGAAGAGATCATATTCCAATGAATCTATTACTTCATGTGTCCAAGAGAACTAAGGGTACCCTTTACACTTGCCCAAACTGTTCCACATGTCTCCATAACCTGAAGGCCAGCCTGATAACCATCTGAAATTATTCAAACTACTGAGGCAGCTATGGTGTGGTAATGTTTCAGAGAACTACAAGGCTGGAATGGACAAGAGATCAAGCCCATGTTCCTCACTTTAATGAAGAAGAAACTAAGTGCTAGGAAGTTTAATACGCTGCAGAGAATCAGTGATAAAGTTGGAAGAGGAATCCACTGGACTCATCCAGTGGGCCTGATGAGTCCCATTACATCAGGCTGCTTCCATAGCACCTTAATGGCAAAACAAATCAAGCAGCCCTGGAGCTCCTAATTAATTCCACAACCATTTACGAATGCCATGCTCCATGTCAGGTTCTGAGGATGCAAAGAGAAACTGGTGAAGGGGCCAACCCTTGAGGGCCTCATGAGCTTGTGAGACACAAAGCGAGGTTAGCAGCAAAGTGTGCTTTGAATAACATACGCATGGGAGCTTTCATTCTACAAACACTCCCAGCCCACTTATCATGAGCTCGGCTCTTGGTTATTTGAATCCTCCAAGCACAAAATACGCCCTCCCCACAAAAAGGCTGTATCTAGATCTCTCAAATATTGCTTTTTTTTTTTTTATGAGAACAGGGAACAAAGGAATGGTTATTTCTTGGTGACGCACAGATCAAGTGGCTGTTTGGCTTCCTGTTGGAATGGGTAAGTACACCTAGGACTTCTTTTCTTATCCACTGTCCCTCCAGTGAGGGCCACGATAGGAGTGATCTCTATCAGTGGGTTCCTGAAGAAAGAGCAGAGATGTAGGGGAGCAACTTGGCTTATTTATACTGAGATGACCTCTGTCATATTCCCTTATTCTCAATCAAATGACACAAATTCTTTCAAAGGCAGCAATGTTATTAGAACTACAAAAATATGGCCTTCACCAATGGATGGATGGATGAATAAAGAGATTTTATGTATATATATCTTTATGTATATATATTTGAATATTGGAATAATAATAATTAATTATTAATATTTAATATTAGTAATTATTATTAATTCCAATAATATTGGGATAGTATTCAGCCATAAAAAAGAATGAGAGCTTGCCAGTTGTGAATGGACCTCGAGTTCATTATGCTAAGTGAAATGAGTCAGGGAAAGATAAATGCTATATGATCTCTCTTATAAGTTTTATACATAAAAAAACAAGCTCATAGACAACAGAGAACAGACTGGTGGTTGCCAGAGGCAGGGTGTCGGGGATGGAAGAGATGGATGAATTGTGTGTTTTTGTTTTAGTTTAAATAAACTGAATTTTAAAAACGAAAGCTTTTATTACTGTAGAGAGAAAGTAAAAAAATACCAGATTCAGTATTAGGCAAGACTGGATTTCATATTCAGCTACACCAAGTATTAGTGGAGTGACTCCAGGCAAGTGACCCCTTATAAACTAAGGGGCAGTTTCCCCTTTTGTAAAATGAAGATAATAACCTCTGTCTTAAGATGCTATGAATTAAACAGATAATACATTAAAGTGCTCTGTGTAGTAGCTGACAACTAGATGCTCAATAAATACTAGTTATTTCTTCTCTGTGAGACAGCCACAGAGTGAAATACAACCTATTTACTTTACAAAGGAGTTTCTCATGTAACACTGGGTCATTTGCCTTTCCACCTCCTCTCCGCCCCCAGCACTCGGTGGTAGGCAGAATTCTAAGAGGTTCCCCCAAGATTCCCATCTCCTGGTGTACACACCCTGAGTATGATGGGACAGTCACTCCCGAGATTAGATTGTGTTAGGCTCTACTGTTGGCTTTAAGGGAAATTATCCTGAGTGACCTGACCTAAATCAGGTGAGCTCTTAAAAGGGATGGGACTCTCCCTAATAAAAGACGTTTGGAGTGTATGTATCACATGTATTTATTGCCAATCAGCTCTGAAGACACTCTTTAATACGT